GCAGAAGAGGTTCAAAGGTCCACTGAGGGCGGGCAAGAGAAGCTGCTTTTCTTTCCAAAATGGCAAAGGCAGAAGTCATAAGACAGATGTCCAGAGTCAGCCCCAAAGTCTGGCAGCCTCCCAGCCTGTCTCCAACAGCAGCCAGCAGTGGCTGCTTAGAGAAGAATGTATTGGAAGAAGGACAGGTACCAAGTGATCCCTGCCCCATGCATCCTCTGCAGTCAGTACGTCGGAGGGTTCTTGAGCTTGAGTTTACATGAAAACTATCATGTAGCTGTTGTGTTTAATAATCTCCAGCTCTGTTCTGCTCACAGTTCCTTTTCAATCATTTCTTTTCCGTGTTTGACAAATTCTAGTGTGACAGGGGAAGGAGGAATTCTGTGAGCGGAGGCTGTTTCACACAGTCTTTTTTATTGCTGTGAATGTTGTCCCTCTCCTGACTGTTAGCAGTGACATGGTTCAAATCAGAAATTATGTGTGGTATACTTAGTTGTAGTTTATACCTTATCCTATATAAATAAAAGGATAGTTATCTGTGACAAAACACTTAGATTCTCTGCATTGCTAATTAAAAGGGGGTAAAGGACTGATCCTGGGCCCTCAAGCCAACGGATGCTGCCTGGCTTGGTGTCAGCCCCTTCTGCAGCAGATTGGTCTTGAAGAAAAGTGGTTGGAGTGGTTCAAACCAAAGCCAGGGAGCAACCTAAGTATGGCAGTATGGGCAATCAGGGGTCTAGTGCTGGAGCTACCCATTGACCCTCTTTTGTGTGGGACGAGTCTGCATTGAGTATGAATGTAACTCTGAGACCATTTTTAAAACAGACTTGCCCATCACCCATAGCATGTCTTCAGCACATTCACAGGAAAGGACTTAGCAGTAATAACTCCACCTGATATTTTAATGAAGACCAAACTCTCACATTGCAGTCAAAGCCACCTGCATGTGTTCCCTTTCTGCTCTGCCAGGGCGTGATTTGGCTTCACCCTGCACCTAAGAGATCATAAGCAACGTGAACTCACCAAGGGATCTCACCGTGGTTTTGGAGAGGATCCTGCAGAGCCACAGCTGGGTCCTTGCTCTGGTCTCCCTCTGCCCACATTGGTAGTCCCCAGTGCCAGGGCTGCCTGGGTAGGAAGCAACCCCGTATCTCTAAATTACAGCTCTTGTGCAGTTCAGCCACCATCGCAATGACCAGCTGGATGTGGCTGGTGGTCAGAAGGGTTTGTGGGTCACCCTCTGAAACCTCGTAGCGCATTATTGCAAAACCAGAACAGTGATTACCATAAGATATGCACAAGCGTGGTGTACAAGATCAATGCAGGGAATGGGGAGCCAGGGAGCATTAGCAACTAACATGCAACTTGGGTTTAGACTGAGGAGCCAGAGATGCTCTTGAAGACCAGGGTTGACCCAGTAAAGGATATGGGAAATGGACAGGGGCAGCCTCAGCTCTTCAACCCTGCTGCTGCTGGTTCCTGACAGAGTGGCCATCACTACAGCCTCTAACTCCCCAAGTCTCTGCAGGTCCCAGTGTGTCTGTACCTACTGTATCATCACAGTGGGTTTCTTTTACACAGAACCCCTTGGGAAACAGTTTGATTTTTGGAGAAGGTTGTCTTGTCTTACTGCTTTAAGAGATAACAGAGAATAGCAAATATTTTTTCCCTACCTCTTCTCCACCTTTTTGATCGTATACCTGCAGCTGGGCAGAGGGAGGGAAAAAGAAAAGGAGATTTATAAGTCGGCAGTGACTTGGATGATTTGCTACATCAATACTGTTGGTTTGTATCAGTATAAATTATTGCTGTGGGTCCTAGTGATGAATCATAGTGATGCTGGGTGATAGTAATGCCATCAAACACAAGCTCTCAGGCTTTGTGGTGATGTCTTGTCCTCCTATAAATCAGATTTGTCTCACTGCTGATCTCTCCATAGACAGTTGAAATAAATGGTGAGCTTTCTCAAACAAATGGGGAAGAAAAAGGAGGGGAACAAGGAGGGGACAGAGTTGTGTGATTAGGAAAGCTTCAGTGGGTGTTGGGAGGTGACTTGCAGGTGAGTTTCAAAGAAAGCATGGAGGAATTTGTCCGTCTGCTCATCGGCTCTTCCCAGGCATGAAGAAACTCAAGTTATTTGACATTAGCTTCAAGAACAAGGCCAGAAAGTTGCTTCTGTGCATACAGCATGGGCAGAAAACCTGCAACTCATTTGCTACTAGTCCTTGATTAAAGCCAAAGTAGGTCTTGGAAAGCAGCGTGTCTGTAGCTTGCTCGGGCCTCTGTCGCAACCAAGCTCTTCTCTTTGTCAGTTCTTTAACTCAAGGAGCAGAGTCGCATCTCTGGGACCTTCCCTAGTTCCAGTCCTCACCTGTGGACATGACCTTTCTGGTACAGAGCTGCAATTCATTGCACCTTCACCAGGCTGTGGCTGACCTGAGATGTTCAGCAGTCCCTGTGCTGCTCCCTTGTCCTCCTGGAGCATCTCTGTTGCACAAACAAGAGGGGGAGAAGGAGGCAGCAGGAAAGAAAAAGATGAAATGTTTTGAAAGGAAACCAAATGGGAGCTAAAAACACTCCTCACTTCATCCCACCCTGCCACAACAACCACTTTTAAATTGAAGGAAGAAAAGGCGCAGCATTGAAAGTATGGCATTTTTATGCGGTGCTATTTGCCGTCAAGGTGCTGGGTGTCACCTGCTTGCGTGCACCACTGTCAGAAACCTTCACAGCACCCCAATGCGCTGTTGGAACAGCACGTCGCTGTCCCCATTGACCCCTGTTTATTATGGCTTCGAGCTCTTCTTGCGGAAACACTGGGTGTGAAAAAAAAGGAGCAGCCGTCACACTAAGGCCATGTGCATAAAGATAAATTATTTGGAGATTAGTCAAGCTGCACATATTTCAGAAAAAAAAGGCACATGACATAACCTCTAGCAGCAGTTTAACCCTACTGCAGCTGCAGCAAAATTATTCATCAGGGAACAGGGGCTGCATGCGTCATGCTGTTAAGATTCTGCCTTGCAAGACACCCCCAATTTAGCTGTCTTGGTTTAACGGCTGGCTGTACCTCAGTCCTACACTATTTGGCTAAGTCACTTCATTTCCTGGTGTTACAAATCTTGTACCAAGAAACGTGAAGCACTCCTTTTAAATGGAGGCAGCAATAAGATGAGAGGTGTCCTCCAAAAGTTGCATCTATAGGAGATAAAATAAGAAGGGGTGGAGGGGCTGGGCTCACACCAAGTGAGCTGCAAACTGAGCACCGGGAGGTGAAATTTCCTATTTTAAGCCTGCATCTCTCCTGTCGTAACATAGGAATAAGAAAGGGAACTGGATGCTTGTCTGAGCAGTCCTGTCTGTCTGAAATGGGAATATTTCTGTTTCTTCTGGAGCTGAAGGGTGAATCTCAAGTGAGAATATATACAGACTGGTGGAGCAAGGAGTGCCAGGCAGACACCACATCAATTTTTCTATACCTTCTTCTCAAATTGAGGTGAGCAGCCCACTGTAGAGGTTTCATCACCTTGTATGTATATTCTCTGGAGGAGTAAATGAGATTGCCACATGCCAGGCAGCAGTGTGTCAAACCCAAAGTCAGGTGATGGAGAAGTATCCTGGTCCTCACATGGCACTTGTGATGGAGAGCCGACAGAAAGGCACACAGATCATTGTCTGCTTTATCTCGTTGCAGTTCAGTGGTTTGTTCTTTCTATGCAAAAGCTCTTTTAAATGGAAAGTTTATAGCAAATGTCACTTTAAAAGTCGTCTTAATCTTTCAGATTTGGCTTGCGTTTTCTATCTGACGTGTACTTATTTTATGTGACTGCAGTTGGTCTGGTTGTGTGGCTTATTTCAACGCTTGCAAGGAAACCAGGAACTCTTTTGCTTTACTGTTCCCCTCTTTGATAGACATTAGAGATGGTTCTTCATACTGTAGTTTAGGCTGTGGCTCTGCTCTGGCTCTAAATCCAGCTGGGATGGGAGCATTTGGGATTTGATGTCCTGTGTTCACTCACTCGTCTTTCAGGAATGAAACTGATGTATAGGGCTCAGGTCATCTGTTTTGCTCAGGCCTCCATTTAACAGAAACCTGAAAAAGCAATTTCTTCCTATATTTCCCATGTTGACATTTGAGGGGTTTGACCAACAGTAGCAATAAGAAAAACGAAGTCTCTTCGGGAGCATGTACATGAGACCTCTCAGACAACTTAGGGCACTTGAAGTCAGCATGTGATCTCCATGTGCAGTTAGTTGAAAGATCCTTTACATCCCAGGGGAGACCGTCAAGTGTAAAGAAACTTCAGATCGATGCAATTTCATCCTTGACAAGGTTCAGTGCTTCCATGGGACTTCAAACATTGTTACATTAAACTGAATTCATGTTAACTATCATCTCATGTCCCCATGTAATGAGATCTAGGTATTTCTCCTTTTTCTGTCAGCCTCATGAACTAATTGCAAAGTTCATCTACTGCATGGCAAAATAATGAAAAAAAGTAGTGTGTCTTATGTAGCTATTGAACAACCTGATATCAGACAGGCTGGGAGAAAACATGACACATCCTTTCTTCCAACTCAGACTCTAGACAGTACTTTAAATTCAGAGGGTAGGCTAGTGGTGGGACACAGGGTCCCAGTCCCCACTGCAGTAAGAGTGTGGCTTGGTGGACACTCACTCTAGAAACAAAGGACTCTGGGGGATGTGCTACAGCTCTTCTGAAAACTGCACTTGCAGCTTGTGGCACAGAAAGTTGATGAATTCGGTTTTGAAGATAGTTTCTAGGTCTCCTGCAGCTATCGCAGAGACAGCGGGAGACCCTACGTTCAGTTCCTGTCTCTGCTGCAGGCCATAGCAGCCAGCCTTGCTTCCCCATTTCAGGGCAACATGAAGTCTTTCTTTCTATGCCTCTTTGTTTTGTTTGCTTGCAATGTCAGCCCTAGCACATCTGACTATACATTACTCCAGCCTGAAGTCTGCCTGGATCTCGTATGGCACCTGCAGCCGCTGCTCTGCAAAAGACAAAAAATATGTGCTCTTTCCCATACATAAAGTTTGCAAACACGAGCACAGACCACAACAGTTCTGGTTCCTCCTTGCTTGCATCACTTCTTTAAGTGGTTGTTGAAATGAAAGGTCGCTATAGCTATTGTGGAAAAGTTGTTTCAGCTATACGGTACCTGAGCTTGTGTTGATCTTGGTGGCAGATACAAACTTGCTTCCTCCATCAGTGTGAGGTTCAGATGACTCACAGACAGAGGTTGTGCAGTCCAGATAAAATGGCTTCTGTCATTCACCTCTTCATGACAACCTCTTTTTTGTTGATGGTAATTTTGTTGCTGGCTCCTGGCCCTGGTAGTCTTCAGAATGGGTGCTCCTAATGCTGGTGGGGTGAAGATGGAGAGTCATGTTTGCACAGGTTTCTACATTTCTTGCACACCTCAGGATTTCCTCTCCTGCAGACTCAGTTCCCACATCTCCAAGGAAAAAATGAACAGGGCATGATGGTCCCTGGATTTCTCCTGCTCTCTGCTCTCAGGCTGTGCCCTGTGGCTGTGGCAAGAGGTCCTCCTGGAGAGGGGTAAAGCTCAGGCAGAGAAGAAGTGGCAGCTCTTTGCACAGCAGTAGAGTGCTCAGAGAGCTTGTCCAGACAGTGAGGTGGAGCTGCAGGGACAAGCCCGTGTTTCCTGCATCCTCAGGGAACGTAGCAGCAGGCTTCCTCCCCAGCCACCCACGCTATTAAGCCAATTTTAAAATAACACAGCACACACTATGCTGCTTTTGGAAAGGGCAGCTGTAGGTATAGGGCTGGCAGACTATGTTATGAAGGAGGACAGCAGAGACCGGAGAACGAGGACGAAAGTGATAAACAAGATTGGATGCATGGTGGAGTCAGAAATGTGCTGTCTCACTCTACAGTGCTGAAACTGTCAGTAATGTGATGAACAATAAATGGCATCAAAGTAGTCCTTTACCCCAAGAGGTGTTATTTGCTCTGACAACACTGCGGGCAGTGACTGATGCTCCATTGTGGCCTTGGACTTCTTGTTCTTGGATCTGCATCAAGTTTGGTCCCCTTGGCACGTGCTGTCTGCAGCATACACACTGGCAGGGTGGTATTGTCCCCAGGAGGGATGTGGTGGGGTGTCTGGCCTTGTGGCTACTCGTTTCCTGGTTTTACTTGCATGGAAATACCCTGGACCTGCTGTCTGAGGTAGTCCATGGTGAGGTCTCCAGCCTTATGGAGGTCTTCTGCAGCCCCTGACTGCCCAGTGCTCCACATGCAACAGGAGCTCTCCCTAACCTGGGGGTTAGAAATTGATTTTCCACTGCAGATCATTACTGTTTGGATATAGAAGTACAGTGCTAGGACTGAGACCACAGCTCTAGACCTCACTCCATCTCGCAGCTTGCTAAACTCAGAATGGGATGAACCCTGGAGTCTGGGGTTTGATAGTCCAATTCAGAAACTTGGAGAAAATCATTTTGGTTCAATGTGAAAAAAGCACTTTGGAGATTTTTCTCAAATAAATAAAAGAAAGAAAATTATATTTTTGTCAATGAAGTAGTATAGCTAGACTTAAAGAGAGATCTTTATTCTTCTTGTGTTTCTTTTTATACTTTAAAATACTATTGTTATATTTAGCTCAATTCTGAAGCAAAATGCAATTTCAAAATGTAAAGCCAAGACTTTCTGGATAAAAAATGTTGAAACAAAACTCATTAACTTTGTAATTCCTGCATCCTCCTTCAGAATCTGGCAGAAAAAGACAGTTAAACCCAAGCCATTAATAAACTGATAACTTTTGCCTCAATGTTTCCTTGTAAAGGATTTTAAACACTTCATGACTGTCTCACTTGGAGACCCATCCTGCATTTAGGACTGTGGCTATTGCATGCTCCCTCGAAACAAATTTGTTGATAGGAATTTGGCCCAGGGCCCACTAAATTGTGTCTTTTGCTTTTGTTTTCCTAGGTTATGAGCATTTTGCTGCTGATTGAGTACTCCCTGGAGGTGGCTAGCGGGAAAGGCTTTTGCAAAGACCTGGACAAGGATTACTACAAGATTGGTAGGTCACCAGGATGCTGGAAAACAGCAGAGCTCTGTGGGGTTGAGAGGGAGCCCAAGGTCCTACATTGCTCCCTCTTTCACCAAAGAAAACTGGAAACTGGTATTCAGAGCAGATGGGCCAAAAGCTCAGACCCAGACACAAAATTTAGGCTCTAAAGATTTGGATTTTGGTTTAGGCCATGGCTGTGTTGGCTTTTGGGAGACCAATGTGGAGCCCAGTGAAGCTGTCTTTATTTCAGTGGATCAGGCCCTCAGCCCAAACCCTCCAGTACTCTCATACTCCTCCAGCCTTCCCACTCCCTCTGCAATACACTTTGCATTAATCTGACATCCTGGTTTCCCCTTCTCTTTCTTTTCACTAACCGTAGATCATTTAAGCCTTACACACACTGTTGACTCCCTTCACATATTGGGCATTTTCCAGGAAAACACCAAAGTGTCTGACCAACTCCTCAATGGACCTAGTCTGGCCAGTGACCTTGGAGTCCTGGAGTGGGGAAAAATTGCAGCCCCACACTACATCCCATGGGTGCATGGGCTACCTGACGTTGCCACCAATACCCTGCCCTCTATGCCATGGAGCCATCCTCTTCTCATCATCCATCATGCCATGCAGGGGTCTCCTACCTCACAGCTGAAGGCACTTTGGAGTGTCACAGCAGCCCACCTTCCTTTCCCCCCTGTCCCTTTGGCCCCCATCCCCAGATGTTCCCAACCCCTGGTGTTTTTTGCAAACATTGGTTGTCTGGAAGAAGCAGCCAGGCTGTTTTGTATACCACAAATAGTCACAAGCATCATATTCACCACAGCTGATTGAATTCCTATGGCTTGAACTAGGAAGGATCTAGCTTGTCTTTCAGAGACATGGCAGATTTCTCATGTGGGGTGCCATTTAGAAAATAACTCCCCAAACCTCAAATATTACTTAACCAGGCTAATTTTGCATGAAGCTGTTTAGAAGTAACAAATGCAGGGTGCTTTTTCCTTTTCTTAGTCACTTTTCGGTGTAAAACCACAAGTTGAGATAACCCTTCTCTGCTGTGTGCAGAAAGACGGAAACCAGACTCCCACACCCTGCATTGTCTCTCTCTGCAGAGAAGGCTCATAGTCAGAGAAAAATGCAACCCACAGCAGCAAGGACTTGCCTGTTCCCTGCTTTTCCAGTATGTCCTTCCCCAAGCTGCAAGCACGCACGGAGAGGCCACCTGTAAATGAAGGAAAAAGAAGTCAAGTACAGCAGATGCCTGCACATCCCAAACTCACTTGTCCCCAGGGCAGGAGTCAGACACAGTGGAAAGCATGAAAAAAAGGCATAGACACTGTCTGGGTGAAGTTATTGCTAACAGATGGGTTCATGCTTTTCAAAAGAGCCCAGCTGGGTTTTAGGAGGCACTAATGTGATCCACCAAGGCTGTTTTGAAAGTCATCAACAGTGAGCAGAAGATGGAAATTTGGGTGAATCCTGCTAATAGGACACCGAGCAAGGGTCTGCTGGTTCACATCTTTCACACAGGGCGTTATTTCCAAATTAGTCCATCTGGGTGGGTTGGAGGCTACTTTGCTTAGCTGTGGTCCACACAGGCCCCTCTGGAGCTGTGGCTCAACTCAACACCCAGCGCAGACTTGCATGATGACTGCTTTGGAAAACGCTTTCTGCAGAGCTTTCCTATTAGGGCAACATGCAACACACTGAACAGGCTCTAAACCCTGACTGTTTTCCAGGTTGCTGGGATCAGCACAACATAGGTAGGAGAATCCAGTTTTCCATTTCTGCAATAAATGTTTCTAGTTTTAATTTCACAGACACAAACCGAAGAACATAATGCAAGCGTGACCTTAAGATCTTCCTCCCTTTTTTGGCTTTGGGGTTTTTTTGGTGGTTTGTTTGATCATTTGTTTTTATTTTGATGTACCTGGCTTGGACATGGGCACAGCTGGAAATATGTTTTCCTGATGGCAGGGTATGCACATGCATTCTGACTAACACAGTGATCTGAACTGCTGAAAACTGAACATGATATTTGCAGATCAGAATACTTTCCCACAGATAAAGTTATGTAAAAATGACAATAGTTTATCTATTGCAGAAAGATCATCCAAGGCAATTTTTACTTTTCTTCAAGTATCTAAATAAAATATTCTTCAAAGAAAAAGAAACAAATCATTGAGACAGATTTTTCAGATAATTTCCGTACGAAACCATTATATGCTTTCTAAGCAAGACGTGCATTTCTGCAAATCTGGAGGGTTTTCTTTAAGAATAGAACAATTGCGAGTGAAATTGGTCCCATTTTTAACAACCTCCCCTCTTCCCACACAATCAGAATGACAGGTCTTCCCCCTCCCCCTCTTCCACTGCCTCCTACACAAAAAGGAACATTTTATAATGAAATCCCCAGCACTTCCACTTGGCTTCTCTTCCCAAGTATTTCAAAGGGCTCTGCTTGGGAGATCGTGAGTGTTTTGTGATTGTAGTTGGAATAAACACAGTGCAACCCTTCTATTTCCAGAAACTAGCAGGGAAGCAAACCAGCAAAGCAGTACAGAAAGTTCAATTTGACTTCAAAACCCAGATGGAAGAGTTGGAGAACAATTTGGGGAGAGGTTCTGTCGATGCCCTCAGCATCTGCTGCTCTATTTGTAGATCCTGCCAGATTAAAGCATGTCTCAGAATATATAATGCTAACGCTGTAGTCATGGCCCAAGAATATAAAGAAGTCAAGGTTTATGGGAAAATGCTTTTCACATGATACAGTAGGAAAAAATACCTATAGGAGTTCTTTATAAGGTATCAGAGCTCCCTCAAGATTTCTCAGCAGTATGTTCTGCTGCCTGAAAAAGAGGGGCTGGGATGGGCCTTGACTTCCACAGGTATGGTCAGGGAGGGGAAGGAGAATTGGGATTGTTGTAGGTTTTTGGGATTGCCAGGGTAATGGGAAGGGTGAGTGGGTCAGCTGCCCTTAGAAGAGAGATGCTCTGTTCCTTGCAGCCTGTTACTCCTTGCTGTCTTGGCTTACAAGATGCCACAGGCAGCACAGGACTGAGAGCACTCCTCTGAAATTTGTTTTTCAATGAAAATTGATCAAGAAATTAATTAAGACCTGCTGAAAATGTTGGATTACAATGGGAAGAAGACCCAGGTTCTTCTTTGTCTTTGGGAGCCTTGAAGATTATTTTCCCACCCCTAGTGGGGTCAGTGCCAGGATGGTTAATCTAAAGCAGGTCTAAATTTACTACCTAACTAATGTTTAAGAAATAACACAAGATTAATTTGGCCAGGCAGAGGGAACAGGAGACAAACTTTGTTGCGTGGTGATTTGGAGCATTCAGTTGCAATTTGGAAGAATTAGGTTCACGTCTCTATGCTCTATCTCACGTACAGCACAAATTTGGATGTGCATTTCCCATGCAGCCTCCCCCATTATTAGAAATCTCATCCTAGAGCTGAGAAGCCTTCCTAGCAAAAGTCTTCTTGGCAGTGCATATGAGCTTTGGCAGACTAGCTTTTCCTGCTGGAAAAATAAAACCAAAAAATGATCCACCCAAAAACATTTCAATTAAAACCTCCTTACCCATTCTAAGCTACTAACATGAATGGTTTTCTGCCTTGAAAAGGTTACACCCCACTGCCTGCCATAGGTCAGATCTTTAGGATGTCTTCAATTCATGCCTGTGTCCAGTCTGAGTGTTAATCACTTTTATTTTTCATTAGTGACTATAAAAATTGAGGCTGTGGACAAAGTACAACTGGAAAAGTTGTTTCAACTTCTGTCCAGTCAGCCAAGAAAAATACCTCAGTTATGCCTGAAGACCTGTGTGCACAGCATATACCATATCCTATGCATACCATTTCCTATGCAGAAAGTATTCCCTCTTTCTCTGATGAAAAGGGAACCTGGCTGGGGCTGGGAGGCTTCTTTCCCTTGCTGGTCCTGCCCGTCCTTTGAATGCAGCTGTCCAGAAACAACTTCCTGCAGCTTATCAGCAACCCTGAATCTAACACTGCCATCCTTGACAATCTGTGAATGCAACTGTTAAACCACAGCTTTATGAGCCCTGTTTGTATTTCCCATGCCAGTTTATTGGGCCATAAAATAGAAAAGGGTTTCTCTGCATTCATGGGAAATATTAGGACTCATTCAATGTCCCTCCTGGCTACATTCAGGGCAAAAACCCTGATGTGAAGTTAATAAAAAATAGACATTTGGCAAATAAATATTCTCTCTTCCTGTTGGATGTGTCGGGTTTTTTGGTACTACTTGCTAGCATTGCAAATATCTAGTGCAGCTCTGCGGAGGCTCTGTCATATGCCCCCATTCTGGTTGCACCACCTCCCCGAGGAAAATGGCATTTACTTCACAGCACATATATATTCCTTCTCATTAAATTCCCTGGGATCTCTGGGAGACTCAGGTAGTTTCAGAGAATTTGAGTAAGAAAAAACATTAGAAAGAGCATGTTCATTTATTTGTTGCTGCTGTTTATTCCTGTGTGCTTTTGGGAAAAGGTGCACCTCAAAGGGGGCAAGCTCTCACCTCACTCTCTGCCAGCAATAACTTTATTTTTTAACGACTGCCAGCATGGAGGTGGCTGTGGAACTGAAATATTCTTGTAGGTAGGATATTCTAGGGCTATAGGAGTGAAGCAGGCTTTGTGAGGAGCAACTTTTCTTCCCTGCCTGATTTTGTAATCATTGAATCACAGCAAAAGTAAGGTGGATCCCTGGAGGTCTCCAGTCCAACCTCTTGCTTGAAACAGGGCTGACTCCAAGGTTGGGCAGCTTGCCCAGGGCTTTGTCCAGTTGAGGTCTGCAGATTCCCCAAAATTAGAATTCTACAACCTCTCTGCATCCCTGTTCAAGATTGCATCACTTATTGTAAGATTTTTCTTCTTTTTATCTGGAATTTCCTTTATTGTAACAATTGCCTCTTGTCTTGCAATAACAGCCCTCAAAGGGCCAACACACCTTCTACAGGGACAAACCCTGTTATTCTCTGAATACTCCGGTACTTTTTAAGGTGCTGTAGAGGAAAATGGGTTATTCCTGAGACAGGCACCCAGATGAACATGCGGGGGGAACAGAGGAAAAAAGCATGGAATGATGTCCTGTGTTTGAGATTATACAGGTGCTCAAGCTTGGTTCAAGGTTCCTAAATTTTGCCCTTTTCTGAGGGTTTTTAAGTACAAAAGAGACAAACATTCATCCTACAAAGGCTAACTAAGCATGAAGGGAAATGCTGAAGAGACTTAAAAATTAATGTCTTATATTTTTGGACAACTGATGCTGGGCATGGAAAGAGCCTGTCAGTCACAGTAATCCGGTCTCTAGGGCCTGCTGTGGCTGCAAGTGCCTAAAACCCCAGGGATCCCCATGGATCTACTGCTGGTTCTGGAAGGTAACTTGCAAAGTATTGCAGGTGACATCTGGCCTCTCTATAACATGTACCGCATTCCTACCTCATGGAGGGTTTGCACAGGCAGGGCTAAGAGCCAGCAGCTACCACTGTCTAAGGGGGTCACTCCTTTAGCCCATCTGCTAAATGTGCTCCCACAAAGGAAGAAGTCATTTTGTTTAGGTAAAATCTTTGATTAATTAGATCAAATCTGTTAGTACTAAAACGTCCCTTGAATGGAGAGATCTGCTGGCAGCAGAAGGGATGACTATATTTGCTGTGAACAAATAGGAGGCAGACAGTGCGTGGAAAGTTGTTTTCTCTTGGTTTTCCTTTTCTTTCCATCCCTTTGTGTCTGTAGGGGTGTGGGCTTTTTGTTTCTTTGTTATTTTGTTTAGGGTTTTTTTGATCTAGGTTCTGCTTGGAAAATTCAGCTGTGTTCTGCCAGCAATTAGCCTGCAGAAGCAACGGCCAGTTGCCCAATTAATTAGCAAGCCTGCCGAGAGAGCTGGAGCATGAGACCATGTAGAAAAAGGCAGAAAAACACAGCTGTCTTGAATCTGAGGAAACACCGTGCTAAAGAGATAAATCCTCTCTTGGGCAAGCTTCTGATGGTTGGTTCTGGGAGGAAAACCAGGGAAAATGGCTCCAGGCAGTTTGGGGTTTAATGGGACTGTCTCCTTTTATGGCTGCTCCTACAAAGGCTGAGCCTGTCTTCTTTGCTAAACTCTTTTTTGGCTTTAGTTTATGCTGTCCTCATGTTAATCTTTGGTTCTTTGTGCACCAGATCACAGCTTTGTCTCTACTCTCCTGCTTCTGAAAGGTGGGTTTGATTTTCTGTGTTGAAGCTTAGGCTCTTCCCATGACCCTTGTGAGCTGCAAAGCTGTGAGCAGCCTCCTCTGCAGCAAAGTTCTTTCTCTATTGCTCTCTCTGTTCTCTCTTGGGGTTTGCTGGATTTGGGTTTTCTTTCTTTGCTCTTTCCTAAGACTTCTTCTTCTGTGTTTCAATTCTCAGTGCTTTGTGGTAAACAGATCCTGCATTTGGTTTCTTTATCACATTATAAGTAAAAGCAATATTCTTGTTTTGTGCCATCAAAAGTCTTTTCCCCTGATGTAGGTTAAGTGTTCATTGGATACTGTTGATCGTTCCCTTAGGTCTTGAATGTCTGACACCACCATGTGCAGTAACTTACGTAGTGCTGCTCCCTCTCTTGAGATAAGCTATGTTTGTGTCTTTGAGGGGTGCAGCCTCCTCAAAGGGTTTTTCCCCTTGAGCCCCAGAAAGGAAGAGGCTTCTCCATGCTCAAGGAGGGAAGTACTTGTCACAGCTGCTTTTCAGACTAAAGGTTCCTCATCAGCAAATCTCATTTCTAGAGGAGACTCAAGTGTGTTGCTAATTCTTGAGAAGATAGATAGTAAGGAAAGTGAAAATATATTTTGTATCAATGCATTTAAATGCAATAAAGTGCACTCTCTGCTAACAGAGTAAGGATGTGAGGAGTGTGGCTGTTAGTGCCACCTGCCCTTGCTACCAGATGTGGCTCAGCCCAGCTGTCAGGCAGGTCCTCTACAACCCTGGAAAGGCTCCAGGGCTTCTCAGTATTGTCTTTGGTGTGTTCTTCACCTGGCATTTGTTCATACCCACATTGCTTAGCAGAGCCTGGATGCAGTACTTGACAGTTTGCATATGCTGCAGCTGCTGCATCTAAATGGGTGCCCATCTCCTGCCAGATGTTGTGGGCAGCACTGGGTGGTAGGTCTGCCCTTCTCCAGCACGGCTCTCCCTTTGACTTGGGCTGACTGTTTGCATTTTCTCCCTCAGAGTAACTGGCCAAAATATGATATGCAGCTGTGACTGCTCCAATGCAAATATTTTGTTCCTGTAAACAACATTGTTGGTGTTATCTGACTGAAAAAGAGGGATGTGTCCTGGTTTCAGCTGGGATAGAGTTAATATTCTTCTTAGTAGTTGGTATAGTGCTGTGTTTTGGATTTAGGGTGAGAATAATGTTGAGAACACACTGATGTTTTGGTTCTTGCTGCGTAGAGTTTACACCAGTCAAGGACTTTTCAGCTTCCCAGGCTCTGCTCGGTGCACAAGAAGCTGGGAGGGGGCATGGCCAGGACAGCTGGCCCAGCCTGGCCAAAGGGCTATTCCGTACCGTATGGCATCATGCTCACTATGTAAGCTGGGGGAAGAAGAAGGAAGGGGGGACGTTCGGCGTGATGGCGTTTGTCTTCCCAAGTCACCGTTACGCGTGATGGAGCCCTGCTTTCCTGGGGATGGCTGAGCACCTGCCTGCCCATGGGAGGCAGCGACTGGAGGGGAGTGAGCGAGTGGCTGTGTGGTGCTTAGCTGCTGGCTGGGGTTAAACCACGACAGATGGGTTTCTCTGCCTTAGCATCTTTGTAAACTATTTTATTCTATTGTTAGCAAAGCTAGGAAGTGAGTTAAGGACACTTTGGTGTATGCGCAAGCACTGAAATACTCCCCCATCCGCTAAAAATGTAATGTTGTACCAAAGCTATAGGCAAACACTCAAATGCTGGGGGAGATGGAGGGGTATTTTCATGGGGGAAAAAATGGGTAATATGGAGCAGTGAAGGATTTCAGAGCAGCTGGAATGTATCAGGGATCCAACAGGCTAAAGCACAATTTCTAGATTCTTTATGAAAGCAAGTGAAAGGGGTAACGGAAAAAATAGTTAGGCACTAGATTTATTGAATAGCCATGGAATAATCAGGCAGTTGGCAGGGGGGGAAGCAAACCAGTCATCAAATATTTCTGACGTTCAAGAAACGTATGTATGGAAAGGATCAGTTGCTTTTAAGAAGTCAGAAAAGTTAAAAGTTTGGCTCTTTTCTAATAAAATTAAACCCTTTATTCAAGCACTTGGGAGTTGGAGACCCCAAAGAGACTGCTGCTATTTGAAACTCAGATAAAGCAATAAGAAAGAAATCAGAGAGCGAGTTGGAGGAGGCACTGTGAAAGACTGTACATTACACAGAGGCAGATAAAGAAAGTAGCAGTGTTTTGCCTTTGGAGGGAGCTGGACATTTTTTTTTTTTTTAAGCAGCAAACCAACTTTACAAAAAACCTCACACTGTCTAGACTGCTACAGAGACCAAATGTGTATACTGTACAGTGCAAGCAAGGCTTTGGTAGTCATCATCAGGGCAGGCTGCAGTACCAAGAGGGAAAATTGCTTCCTGGGAACAGTTCAGTAGGAAGCTACATGTATGTAAGAGATCGCCTTCCTGCACCCAAAACAGCTGACAAAGATTACCTTCGGCCCTGGAGGTAGAACTGTCTCATGTTGTTCTCCTCACACGTTTATTTTTAATGTGTATGTTGCATCCTACAGCTACAGAGAGTGGAGGTGAGATATTTCACTCTGAAACTCTGTGGTCCATACCAGCGGTGGGTGGTCAAAACTCGTGCTTCTTGTCTGCTTACGAATCTTGCAGATCTTTCACCAGATTTCACTCAGTTACTTTATCTGTCTCTGAGTCTCGAAATAATTTCCAACTCAGACTTATTAATCATTAGCTAGAAGCATTCTGCCTTTTTTTTCCTGCTTCATTTTACCTTAATATTGTAGCCTAAGATATTTAAAATTTCAGTCCAGGCAATAAAGCCTTTTGGCTCCCACGTGCCTGAGCTGACAGCCTGCTCAACCCAGTGGCTAAAGAAACAGAAGCTTCAAAGACAGATGAAAAAGTGGATGGAGAAAGGGAAAAGGAGGGTAACTTTCTAGCTGCATGGCATTCATTCCCCCACATATACAAGAGGTATGATTGAACTGAGATATTAGGCTCCAGCTTTTAGTAATGTGGTAATTTTTTTTAATCTTTTATTACTTTTAGCTGATGTCATCACCAGTTTCCTGTTGATCATCATGCTGTTTGTCATCAGCTTCAACCTCCTCCTTGGTGTGGTGAAGGTATGTTCTCCACAGATGACATTTAGCTGCTGGCTGAGGCCTCTCTGAGTTAGGAGGTGTTAGAGGAGCGGGCTAGAGGATGTTCACTGAAGATGCTGAAGTATGATTAAAAAAAAAGAGAAATCTCTCCAGTCTCTTACAGAGAGAGAAGGCAGCTGGTTTGCAGTCTCAGGCTCATCTGCAAGGCCCCTAACTGCCAGATTTACCAAATCTGGGTGACATTTCCATCAGGACTATTTTTCTTGTTAAGGAATGGAAAGGTTATGATTTAGAAATGTTGTTTTATTGCATCATTTCCTTGCTCTTTTGCAAGTCAACTCCTGGAGGGGAACTGTAACTCCCCTGTTAGACTGGGGATTTATTTCCCATTTCAGGAGAAGAAATGACCATGCAATGGTGTGGGAACCCAGATTTCTCTGGTAAACTTTGGGGACAGCTGAATGGCAGCTCTTACGGGATCAAGTTCCAACATTGCATAGTGAAAATTCACAGAAACTTTCCAAGGGGGTGAAAAAAAATCAATGTTGATGCCCTTCATTTCTGAATCAATTGTCACCACAGTATGTGGAATTAGATGCAGAAATTCCAGGAAAGTATTTATTCTTGGAGTACCTTAATATATGCCCTTTCAGGTAGTGATAGCTGGTCTCATTCTCCCATTCAGAATAGAAATAACTGGCATTGCTTTTCTTTCTCAGAAGAGGGAACGTCTCCTGATCCCGTTCCTTGCTCTACAAGTCATGGACTTTCTCCTCAGCCTCCTAACAATGTTCAGTTCCTACATACAAATCCCAGCGATCATTTCAGTGTCCTCCCTTAGCCACACGGTAGGTAACAGCTCACTTCTGGGGTGGTCTTCTCTGTTCTGTATGAGATGGAGACCGAGGCATAATGTAGGGATAAAGGATCATTATCCTGGGCCACGGTTCCTCGTGGCGAGGTATTTTCTATACTGGCTGGAGACTGGATGCAATCCTTGGGGTTAGAGGATGTGCAAGGAAAACTAGTGACAGCTGGGACATTGCTTAGTTTCCCATGTCTGGGAATCTTCCTGTTTTTATTTTCTGTTGCATGGCTTTGGGGAGGTCATTCTGGGTGTGCCCATGCTGGGAAGGGCTTGCTGGAGATAAGCTAGGAATATCACTGCTCCAGCTAGAGGCCTCTTCTGTGGAGCTTGTATAAATCAGCCCAACAGGATGGTTTGCTCATCATTTTGGCTAGTATAAGTGAATTAAATAACTTAGGTTGTCAATGTGAAAAAAGCACAGGCCCTGCGTAAAATGTGGAAAATCTACAGAGGTGACGCAACCTTATAATCACAATCAAATTCCCGTTCCCTACCCTTCTTGCAGCAGGGACACTCGAAGATCCCTTTCCTGGCTCTGCAGCTGCTGGACTTCTGCCTGAGTATTCTCACTCTCTGCAGCTCTTACATGGAGGTCCCCACCTATCTCAGCCTCAAGTCTTCAGACAATGGGGTAGGTTATGAGCAAGCTCAACTGATTTTTTTCATGCTGTGAACCCCTATGAAGTTTCTTTCAGTGGCTGTTAAGACAGAGTAAACTTTCTCTGATCTCTACAGTATATCGAGAACTGCTCTGTTTGATGACATAAGAGGATTTTCCATATGTTCTCACCATCATGGTGTTCTTGACTGACAGCTTGCTTATGCATGTGTTTCTTGAAAGGACACCTTGTTTTTCTTGTAAGAATCTTATGGATGCAAATTGCAGAGCAAAATGATTTGGATGGAGCCTGCCTGCATGCATTGAAAATGCATCAACTTTTCATCTTTATTAAACAGTCATACTTTTAGTTCTCATTTAAATAGTCTTCTGAAAATCTTTGCTAAAGAAGTATAAACAGTAGGAGGAAAAAAATACCCCTGTACTCTTTCTGATGAGGAAAGGAAGGTGGCCTGTCCCACCTTTCTGAGAGGCAGGCTGAGATCTCCACCACTTTGTGTGACCCTGGTAGAGGGAATAAATATTTATGACTGAGACCCTCTCCCTCTTTTCACAGGGCTTTTTGCCAACCCTGGAGAAGTTACCAACAGATGAATATGCCAAAGTGATGGTCACCTTCACCATTGCGTTCATTGCTGTCCTCTTTCTGAAGGTAAATGGCTGCCGGGTTTGGTGAGGCTGAAATGAAGCTCTCTTGCCTGAGGGATAGGAGGAATTGGTTTTACTTCTCTCTCAAATCTGCCAGGCCATTGGAAAGTCTTATTGTTCCCTCCTTGGGCATAATAGGAGCTATGCCTCAGCGTAGTGTCTGAGGCAGGTCTAATATTCAAATCACTGGTTTTATGCTTCTGCAGCTGCGAGTTATAAAGCAAAATCTCTCTTACATCCAGAAGATATTACTGCCCATTCATCTCTAGAAGGATAAGGTGTTTGAAAACAAATATAGGAAACTCCTCTGCTATTGTGTGCCAAAATAAATTAGAACATTAAGCAGCAGGTTAGATCTTCCACTTGGGTAAGTCGCTGTATCTGCACTGATGTAAGCAGAGTTACGCACACTGATACCGTGACATTTAATTAAAACCTGTGAGCTGCTAAATCCTGCTTGCTTCTCAGAAAACTCCACTGTGAGATAGTTTTTATTCTTCTTGCCTCAATGGATCAGAGAACAGGTTTTTCACTGAGGGGTTTCAGACCAGCTAAGAAAACCAGATCTTTCCAGGTACTTGAGCAGATTCTGTCACAGTGAAAAATGCTACTTGTTAGTTGGAAAACACTTTTTATTCAGATTCTTCCAACGTGGCTAGACAAGCCAGTGTGGAGTGAAGTGTCTTGTACAATTGCACTGCAGACACGACTTTAGCATATCATTTAATATTTGCATAAACTGTCCAATAGGAGTGGAGATAACCCTGAAACCCAGCTGGCAGCGTGGATCTTCAGCAGAAATCTCACTGACCTGGCAAATCGGTTGATTTGAATTTTCCATAGGGTTAGCTACAAAACTGCTTAACTTGCAATGACTTCTTGCTCTGGAGTTTGTAGGAGGAGGGATGGGGGGAGGATAATTAAAAAAAAAAAAAAAAAGGACAGGCACAAGTACTCCTTGGTCTACTAAACTCCCCAAAATAAGTCATTAGGAACCCCATTCTGTAAACTTAGTGACAACCCCTCCCCTATTCCATGTGTAGCAAAACCATTTGCATGAGAGAGTTCCTTCCAAGTGATAAAGATCTGATGAGGAACGTGGCAACAACATTTTAGACCTAAAAAGGCCATTTGGCCAATTTAGGGCCCATTGGTTTCAATTCACTGAATGCTCGCATCAGGGTGTCATCTAAATATGTTGGACTAGCCCAGGATCTTTTTGCATAAATTGACTTGTTTAAGGACCCATCACAAGCATTTATTACTCTTACACTAAAATGTTTGTTCTGTGTATCCTGTGCTGTTTGCCTGCCAACTTGCAATTACTGTCCCCAAATAGTTATCTGCATCCCGCACCATAGAATAACTTAGCTAAAAGGTGGTCTGTCAGATGCAGAAGAGATGGGGCACCTGCCCCACTGAATGCCTCTGACAGTGACCTCATATGAGACCTGCAAGACTTTGCTCGCCCTTTTAGCAGGGAAGATTTCTCTGACAGTGCTAGGGGGATGGTAACGCTCCTCTCCCTCCTTTCTCTCATACAACACCACACTTTGCAGGGAGCGTGTCCTGTTGCAACATGGAAGTCCCTCCATGCAACTTCATAGCTCCTTACCAGTGTGGTGGCTGGTTGTATGTTTACCTGTAGAGCCCCACTGGTGATACCATCGGTTGTTCCAGTCTAAGTTCCTTGGAGATGCAAAGTATTCAAAGGGCAGAGTGAGTGAAGGAGTGAAGCTTACCTAGCACCATTAGGGCAGTCTCTCTTGCTGATCTGTGTATCCACAAGTAATCTTTATCTCACCTCAGTATCATAAAGTCATCCCCTTCCATGACCACGGTGATAAGAATGCAGAAACCAAGGGGAATAAAACATTTCTGATGGGAAATGAAAGAAAGGGTTTAACATAATTACTTCTGAAGTAGTTCACTTCCTGATCTCTAGGACAAGCTTCCCATCCACTTATAATGTCAACGGCTGCCAGAGAAGTTTTGCCTCTTCAGTTCACTGTGGAAAAGGGTATCCTACAGTGACTCTTGAGTGTTTTGAGTTAGCTGGTAATGGGATGATCCCAAGGTCACTGGCTGCCTTTACGTAAGCTGCATGTACTAATGTATTCTGCTTAAGCCTGCTATTGCTTGCAGCAGTCTTAACTGAAGTCAGCTTCATTGAAGCAAACTCCTCCAGAATCAAAATCAAAGAAAGGATTTTTGTTGTATGGGGTTTTTTTTATTATTTATTGGGGTTTCTTTCGTGGATGAGTGGGGGGTTTTGTACAGTTTATGTGATTGCTTCAGTGTCTTGCGTATTTGCTCTCTGTATGAAGAGGCTTTTGGAAGGGGGAAGGTTTTGGCAGTATTCCCTAAAGGTGGTCAAACTTTGGATTTACCTCCTCATCTCTGGAAGTTTGTTTGAGAGATGGATTCCTTCAACTCAGATACTTCATTCTTTGTTCTCGTTCTTTGTCTTGGCTTTGTGTCAAGACAAACAGTCCTCATTGTTCTAGGAAACCTTAAGCTACATGGCTTGTTCTCGGGGCATATAACTCCCTATGTTCCTTTGAAAATGCCAACTGTTTTTAAAGTAGAGTCTTACGCCAATAAAAATAAGAGGCACATGACTTTGCCTCGCTGCACAGAGTAGGGAAAATATTTATTTAATATGGTATGTTTCACAGGCCTTGCTTATTTTCTTGTGCCACTATCCGTCAATTGATCCATTTTTCTCAGAAAACCTCTATTTATTGCATCTTGTAACGCTGAGGTGCAAGGTGGTCTTGTCAGAAAAGTGTAGCTGTTGCAAGTATAGGATTTTGTTGAATGAGCTGACCTTTCATGTCAGTCCTTGTTGACCAGGGAGCTTTGGATCTCTGGGAGGTGAATGTTGTACCCAAGGTGCTTTTCTGAGACATCCAAACTTTGTAGCCTGCTCAGGAAAATAACATGAAAGACATGCTTTCCTTTCCTACCTGATGACATTGCACTCTCGGAGGTCTCAAGCATGTGCTTTATATTTAATGGTATTACTAGTCTTATTGACTTCCCACACCGGTGTACTCTTCTGAATGGATGGAGCTGTCACCTTTCTAGTGAAGGATCAAGAGGCACTGATTTAAGGTCCTGGGACATATGGTCCCAGGCTTCTACCTCCAGAGAAGAGAGCAGGGCAGTAGCAGGGTGATGGCAAAAGTGGAAATGCTCTTGTTGACTTGCAATGCAATGGCAGACTTCCCTTTCCTTTTCAGGCCTATATGTTCAAATGTGTCCTGAGCTGCTTTAAGTATATTAAAGCCAGCAAGAGACAGGAGGTGAAAGCTGACCCACAAACAGTCGAAAAGGTGAGTAAAGACTGCTTTAGATTTACACCATGAAAAGGCATGGTTTAGACTGATAAGATGCGTGACGATCCTTACTTTTGCTTCTTTCGTGGTCTGAGAGATAGTTCAATCCTTCAAATGTGCATTAACAGGTACTAATAATCAGTTTCCAATTATATTATATTCCTTTAACTTTACTTTCGTACAAAATCTTTCAAAGGCAATGGTATCTGCAAGGAACCTGAAACTCAGGCTCCAGGCAAAGTAGATAAATGGGAATATATCACTTGTATTCTCTGATTCAGAGATGTGTTTTTAATTTCAGTTGAACTTTGGTTTCTGTGCCTAATAGCGCTACCCTTCACCTTTCACTGGATCAATGTCTGAGAGATTTGGTGCATTGTCCTTCATCTTAACAGTTTGCTAAATAATGAATATCAATGTCCTTCCTTACATTGCTGATGATTTCTTCAGCAGTCACATCCAGCTGCTCTGACACAATGGAAAGATACTGAAGACCTTCCAAAAATAAGAGATACTGTAAAGATGGATGAGAAGTAAAGAGGAAGAATATGGAATGCTAAGTGTAGGCATTTGTCTTGTTGAAACTTGGCAAATATGATGAGCCTTGTCTTGCCAGCAGTGTGTGCCCCTGCTGTGCATGCATCATGGCTCTCTGCAATGATCTGAGCTTAACTTCTTTGCTTAGGCAATGAGGCTTATATTCTGGACATTAAAGAGCCTTGGTCCATTTATTGCAACCATGCTTTGAGAGATGGAGTTGGGACTGGCAGCAAAGTGGTTATAAAGTGCTGCCGACCTCTAACTCTTCTGGATTTCTGCCCTTCATGTCTTACAGCCCATGTGGTTCTTTTACCTTGCTTTGAACTAGGTAGAGAAACACATCCAAGATCAAATCCACTCGAAACCCTTCATGTGGTCCCAGAGCATAACTAATGGTCTTCTCTTTCAGGCTGTGCTGCCGTCATATGAGGAAGCCTTAGAGTTGCCTTCCAAGGAAACCCCACCACCCTATGTAGCAATCTAAGCTCCACTCATGGAGAGAAGACGACATCTGTATTGCTGTTGGTGCCTCTTACCCCTTCTGTCAGATAGTCAGCCTCATTGAGAAGTCCTTACTTTATAGCAATACCATGCTTATCACAATCCAGCTCACTTTATGAGCCTACAAAGAGTGATGGTGAACCACTGGAGTTGGTGCCTTGTTCTACACTGGCAGTTTTGACTTGGTACTACCAACCTGCAATGCTAATTTTAATAAACTTGGCACCAGGCACCACAAAGGTTCCCATCACTGGCCTCTGACATCTGGCTAATGTGAACTGTAGGCACTGGCCTGAATCCCTTGTCAGGCTTGCTTTATGCCAGCAAGATGCTGCTTCTCATCTGTCTCACGTCTAACTCAGCAGCTGAGACATTTAGGAAGTGGAATGGGGGGAAAATGGGCAAGAACCGTTTTGCTGAGATAGTCCAGCCCTGAAGCTATGCTAACCAGCATCTTTTATTGTGGACCCTATGGGAAAGGGATCAGCAAGAGAATGAAGGTTTCAAATGAACTACGATGCAGCTTTCATCCTGTCTGCTTATGATGATGATTGATAGTGTGTACTCCAGAATAGACAACATGCTGGAATTATCACAGTATTGCTCTGCCATTTTATACCTGAGTGTTTGCATTTTTTTTGCTTTTAATGTGACTTGAAAGATGAGTTTCAATTAAAAAAAAAATGTTAATGGCTTCAATACTTTGCTGTCTGATTTCTGAATGATGCTTTCCTTGCTGTATGAAGTGTGTCACAAGGAAGCAATAGTTTGCTTTCTAAAAAAATTAGTTAGCAAAAATCGTACTTTGGCCTTAGGCCAACGTTATCTCATGTGTGTGCTGCTTGCAAAGGAAAAGATGGTATTTCTAACAGCCAACCTGGCAATTTAATCTAAAATTCTAGCTTATTCCATCCTCTTGTACATTATCACCACAGATAAAGATCCTGCTTTCTGTGGCACATTCACAACCAACTCTGCACAGGTCAGTCGCTGTAGATGTTAGTGAATAGTGCTGCTGATGACAGATGAGAACTATCTGGAATTCAGCATCTGCTCACCTTTTTGGATCATTGCCTGCCTTTTAAAACAACTCAGTATGAAAGTGCAATTTGCTCAGTAATAACTATTCCAGCAACATCCACAGTGTGGACCACAGCCTTGGGTCTTTGTTCTGCTCTAAAACAAAACAACAAGCTTCAATGGAAGATTTGCCAAAGCCTAAATAAGAAAGGTCAGTGCTGCCCCGTGCTCTTTTCACTGGATGTGTATTTATGTATATGGGGATGAAGATAAAGATGTTGGTCATATACTTTTGAGATGGTTTTCTCATCACTGAAGAGGGGTGATGATTCCTTTTCTCTCTGCTTCATCTCCCTTGTTCTGGTGACCAGGATACTCAAAACCAGACATGAAGTCTGGAAGGGTGTACCACAACGCCATCTTAATGTCTCCAGTGCTTTTAAACATGCTTAAAATTACTTATGAAAGTAGAAACCCCTCAAATTCTTCAAGCAGAAAAGAATTTTTCTGACCCTAAATCTGGCAATTGTTTAACTGTGACCAAAGAGCAAGACACAAACACAAAATTCAACCGCAAAGCTTTGCAGAAGCATGAGAAAAGCCCAGCTTCTTGCATCAAGGTCCATCTCAGTATCTTGCTTTATTAGGTGGAGAGATGAAATGTTATCTTTGAAATATGAATAATAAATAGGCTACAGTACCTTCCAGACATCACCTGTCAGCCCTCTTGGTCGTAGTCGTGAAGACCAGGCTGGATGCTGAAACTGGCTGCTTCTCATTTCTCACCAGCTACCTGCCCACCTTGGTTGCAGTGCTCAAAGCCAGGTCTGGAGGAGGCCATGGGGTGGGCTACCTGGGTGGAGCCTCTCTCCTTGTTAATTTAGGGAGGTATTTGAAAGCACAGTCCTTCCCTTAGGATTCCTTATCACAGTCTGTAGGTGCGGAGATGGTGTGTGACAGTCCTCACAGCACTGGGACATCTTCACCAGGCTGCCTTCCACTAGCCAGGATTGACCAACAGCCTACTAACTGGGTCTGCCAACAATATTATTAGGAGAAATGCTGGCAAATCACTTGGCTTCTAAACCAGAAAAGGGTTCTTTATTGTGATCCAACTAAATTGAGTTAAAAATCCTTTTCCCTCTCTTTAAACGGTTCAAATTCTCCCTCTAATTAAATTCCCATTAATAATGCTCTTGGCTATTTAGTTACTGCAGCAGGCTTCAACATTCCCTAAGCCTCTTGGTTTAATTGACTTTGATAATACAACTAAAGCAGCTAAAGTACCTTCAACGCATCTCTTGCAGAGCTGGGGTTTGTTTCAACGTGCATGAGGAGTTGAGCCTTTGGGTACACACTTGATCTCCTAAATGAACCTGATGTTTCGTGTCTCTTAGCAAGCCAGGCGATCCTTCTGCTTCATGCAGTATTTTCTCTCCAAGGCTCAGAATAATTCCCCGTGAAAGCCTGGCTCAAAAAACCTTGAAATCTGATAAAATGTATAGATTTATTGTGAGTTTCCAGCCAGGTCAGGGGCTGAGTTCTAGACGGGAAGTGGTTTTGGTTTTCTGAAATGTTAGATGATTTGGCCAACACAAACTGAACACAAGCTGTCCCAAGCCTGTTAATGAGCCAGACGATGGCGCTATCAATGCTGGTTTTGAGACTGATACAAGACTCTTTTTAATATGCTACTGTTATACATTTTTTCTTCTCTAAACTGATTTACTGATGCGAGTCTCTCCAATACAGGCTGAGAACCAATTCACACAAATATGCTTAATGCTGCTCCACATATTGCTTTTTTTTTTTCCAGTGCAGAGGAGAAATGAGCAGCAATTCTTTGATGCAGAGAGTAGATTGAGCTGATGATCTCAGCACTGGCAGAACAGATATGTAAGAGGGACTTGACCACCTTTAGAAGCAGCATCATCTCATGGAGGTGGAGATGCTCCAAGACTCCAGAGATATCCATTAGATTACCTGACTGACTGTGGCTTTTTCCCCCCATCTGACCTGGAGCAAAAGCTCCAGTGGAAAAAGAGCTTTTTGCTTTGAGTGTCTGTGTGTTGCTTTGAGCACTTCTGTTTTGCTTGATTTCTTATTCTTCTCTAGGCATTCTGGTGCCACTGCCTTCAGTTGGAGGAGATATGTCTCGCCCTCTGCATGAAACAACCAAACACACTTCACTGGTCTCCCTATGCCACAAAAAGGGAAACTGAGGTATGGAGGAAAAGGAAATAACTCATGGAATATCATGGGCCCAGGCAGAGGAGGGAGGGAAATTGCAGAATGGGTGAGAGTGATCCTGGTCTGCTCTCAAAACCAGTCTCAGTGCCTGAGACTGCAAGAAAAACCTCTAAAGGTCTAAGCACATCCCCAGAGACTGCCTGCAGGTAGTCCTCAGGGCTGGGGGAGATGGAATTGTGCCCTGTTTGCTGCAGAAGTGTTTTGTTTTATTGACACAGGATAACTCTCCTTGAGGCTTCTTCCCTCAGCCTTGGGCTGGTCCCAGTGGAACAATGCTGCAAACCCCAGTTATGTGCTGGAAGTGCTCCCATGCACCATTCACAGCCTTTTAGTCAAACGTTTGATAAACCTGTGCACTGATGGGAAATGTTTTCTGGTGAAGGTAACCAGCACAGGTTGCTCTAGCAATCCAGGCCACGCCTTTTTGTAAGAGACTCTTTGACATAGAAACTCAGTAAAACCTGATTCTACTAATCCTCCTGGATGTTAAGCAGCGCCAAAGCTGGCAGAAAATACAGTGTCAGTAAAGCCTGGAGAGGATCGGAAGCATTTTTCTGGTGCTGGCTTCTATCAGACTTTGAAATGGCATCTGGAAACATGATGGAGCTGCTGGCAGCCTGGCAAAAATAATGCATAATGCAATAGGAACAACAGTACTCAAAACTAGGCAGATCAAGTCATAGTGTCCACTATGATGGAAAGGTCTCTCCTATCCCAAGGGTACTCTGATGTCCATGAGTGGGTATAAATAGACCTTGAAGAGGGCAAAGACAGCAACTTGGCCGCATTCCCTGGCATCTCCTTGAGCTGACGTAAGCGAATGTGCTGACTGGCCCTGGAGCAGCAGAGGGAATCCCGGGTGATGGATGTATGGCGTTTCTCCAGGAGCCTGTCACTGCAGACTGTCCTGTACCACAGGGACCGTGCTGCCCTTATTGGTTTTCTTGCTGCCTTGGTTC